CTTGTATGTCCAGTGTGTTATTCTCCATTCTAGAAGGATATATACTCAACAGATAAAGTTAAGGATCATCCCGATTTTCAAGGTGTAAATATTTAATAGTTCATATTATGATCTATATAGTGCTTAATTATTTGGGTGGTCCATAACGTTTTGGGGGGTGACTGTTCCCTGAACCCATTTGACACCAACGTTTTGGGGGGTGACTGTTCCCTGAACCCATTTGACACTGTACCCTCTGTTTTGAATCTGGTGTGAATGGACACCCTATCACATTTCACTGATTATTCATTATTGAATGAAGTTGCAATGTCAAGAGTTCTAGACTCGACTTGATCCCCTGTTTTACAGAAATTGGACTTGTCTTTGTTTACTCTGAAAATATTTCTTTTCCAGATGATAGTAAATACATAAAAGGCATCAAGTTCAATGATATATATTAGTATCTCAATCTGAGGACGCTTCAGTGTTTAGTTGAAATGGAGTTTAAGGTAGCTTTGAAGTTTATTGAACTTATACATCCATACCTGATGTAATGTGCGTGTGTGTTTTGGGGGGTGGTTGGGGGTTCTGTTGGTTTCTGTGTGTGCTACAAAAACCATTTAAGTACTAGCCCTGCGTACTGCCGATTTTAGTGCTGACCCACAGTTCAACATGGATACCCGACTTGGATACAATATACTGCCACAAGCCGACAAACCTTGTTTTATCCACATATTGCCCGACACCAGGCAGGGTAACATCAAGTACCATCTCTGAATGTCCTTTATGATGCTGAGAACAAAACACCAACCCTTTGTGCAGACACTTTAGACCTCGATGAAGATCCTACGAAGAGGAAATCCATGATGATCTTTAGAATTGGTCTGTCGTAAGAGGTTCGCTGACTTGGTTGACACATGTCATTGTATCCCAATTGCGTTGATCGATGCTGATGTTGTTGAATACTGGATTGTCTGGTGCAGACTCAATTATTTGCTTATTGCCGCCATATAGCTGAAATATTGCTGAGTGCGGCGTAAAACTCACCCACTCACTCAGAGAGAAAATAATGTGTGTGAATAATAAGGTGATGTCACTTTTAGAAATGATACTGTGGTGGTGGATTGGTCCAGGGCATATATGGCGATAGAATGGAGATATTATGTATTGGATGAGGATAGAGTAATTGTTGAAATGTAGTAATGTAGTTTATTACTGGCTTAACTAGCTACTGTGTTAATTATAGAGGTGTCAGTCACAACCCCTCTCTGTAACATTGGGCACTTTTTATTGGCATGTGAATAGATTTTATTTTTGTACAAGAAAATGAACTACGATTGTTGCATGATTATAACAGAGAAAGGCTTATGAAGTCCTGTTTCACTTGTTTTATTTATTTCAATGCTTAAAGCTTGTAAATAAATGTTAGAACTGTCACTTACAACCAGTGTTGTTCTTATTTCACTGTCGTGTGAAGATGTTGGTTAGAGTTGGACTTAGCAACCCACGCATGACTATTGGAACGGGTGGTTAAGCTCACTGATGTGATTAATGCATGTCATGGTATCCCATTTGTAGAGATCGAATCTCATGATGTCAGTCACTGGATTGCCCTGTCCAAAGTCAATTATGTACATGCCGCCACACGGAGCGGTGGGGTAGCCTAGTGGTTAGAGCGTTTGCTCGTCACGCCGAAGACCCGGGTTCGAATCCCCACATGGGTACATTGTGTGAAGCTCATTTCTGGTGTCCCCCGCCGTGATATTGCTGGAATATTGCTAAAAGCGGCGTAAAACCAAACTCACTCACTCACTCACATGCCGCCATACAGCTGTAATATAGCGGAGTGCCACGTTGCACAACCAAAAATATATTTCGAAGATAGTTACTAATAATTGGTCGTTCAGCACAGTGACCGTATTTCTGCTTTGTGCGCTACAGACAGTTTGTGACCAAAAAGGTTAGGGACAATCTTCCATTTTCGTCAGCTCATCTATGACTAGTGAACAGAATAATTATTCATAGATGTCTGTCCCCTAAAATGTCATCTCTTGGTTAACATGGCGGGAAGGGATATGACCCAGTGCAAGTATTCATCAAAGCACATCATGAATGACGACCCTTGCATGACGTAACTTCGCCAGACTGATATGTTTGCTTAATGGATCTGACATGAATGTTTTTCAGGATGAATACATTTTAGCGTAGAATTTTATCACCAGAAGATAATACTGACTTGACACATTCGTAAAATTCTCAGAATAGGAGCAGAAAACTCCATCGAAGTTTTAAAATCATTACTGTTTAAATATGAGGGTGTGCTCTTTCCTAGCATATACATTCAAATATTGAATACGAAGTGTGGAATTATGACCCAGAATCATATTCTAAAATAAAGTTCCATCGTATTATAAAACATACGTTTGATTATGAAACACTTTGTAAATGAAGTTAGGCCAAGGCTGGTATTGCTCTAGAATGACCTAGGCCTAGGCTGATATCGCTCTTGAGTGACTTAGGCCTAGGCTGTTTTCAGTCTAGAATGACTTAGGGCTGGGCTGATATCGCTCGAGAATGACTTAGGACTAGGCTGATATCACTGTTAAGTGACTTAGGCCTAGGCTGATATCACTCTAGAATGACTTAGGCCTAGGCTGATATCGCTGTAGAATGACTTAAGGCTAGGCTGATATCGATTTAGAATGACTTAGGCCTAGGCTGATATCACTCTAGAATGACTTAGGCCTAGGCTGATGTCACTCTAGAATGACTTAGGCCTAGGCTGATATCGCTCTAGAATTACTTAGGCTGATATCACTCTAGAATGATTTAGACCTGGGCTGATATTGCTCTAGAATGACTTAGGCCTATGCTGATATCACTCTAGAATGACTTGGGCCTAGGCTGATACCGCTCTAGAATGACTTAGGCCTAGGCTGATATTGCTCTAGAAATATACTTAGGCCTAGGCTGATATCACTCTAGAATGACTTAGGCCTAGGCTGATATCGCTCTAGAATTACTTAGGCTGATATCACTCTAGAATGATTTAGACCTGGGCTGATATCGCTCTAGAATTACTTAGGCTTATATCACTCTAAAATGACAGACCTAGGCTGATATCGCTCTAGAATTACTTAGGCTAGGCTGATATCACTCTAGAATGACTTAGGCCTAGGCTTATATCGCTCTAGAATTACTTAGGCCTAGGCTGATATCACTCTAGAATGACTTAGGCCTAGGCTGATTTTGCTCTAGAATTACTTAGGCTGATATCACTCTAAAATGACTTAGGCCTAGGCTGATATCGCTCTAGAATTACTTAGGCTAGGCTGATATCACTCTAGAATGACTTAGGCCTAGGCTGATATCGCTCTAGAATTACTTAGGCTAGGCTGATATCACTCTAAAATGACTTAGACCTAGGCTGATATCGCTCTAGAATTACTTAGGCTAGGCTGATATCACTCTAGAATGACTTAGGCCTAGGCTGATATCGCTCTAGAATTACTTAGGCCTAGGCTGATATCACTCTAGAATTACTTAGGCTGGCTTATCACTCTAAAATGACTTAGACCTAGGTTGATATCACTCTAAAATGACTTAGACCTAGGCTGATATCGCTCTAGAATTACTTAGGCTAGGCTGATATCACTCTAGGCTGACGTAGGCCGATATCACTAAGAGTTCATATTCCTTTCAGACGAACAGAGGTACACTTTAATTGTCGATCCAAAATGGCAATTGTCGACTTTATGTGCAGATTTCAGCGATCGATTCATGTAATTTTCAACGTTACTTTGGAAAATAGAGACGCATTGACGTTTGTATTGCTACAACAATAGATGATTGCGACAAGGACACTGGTCGATAACAACATCTGCTGATATACCTACAATGTGCCTGTCTGGGTTGTGTTTGTTTGGATATGTCGTATTGACCAAACCGCACGTTTCACCCAGAGGTAGGCAAATGATAGTTTTTTCAGGAAACGAAGAATTGAAATTAGTTACCGGTCAGTGAATAGACAACTATTTCTAAAATAACAGTTCTGACACACACAAAAAACGTTTGGAAGAGCAAACCTTCGTAAAACCTGCCTCCTATTTGTTCAAACCACATGAATCTATGGCTGATTGTAGTGAGTGAGTGAGTGGTTATGGATTAACACGGCTATCAGCCATAATTCCAGCAATATCATGGCGAGGGATACCAGAAATAAGTTTTACTCATTGTGATTATGTGTTTGAATCGAACCGGGGTCTTCCGCGTGACGAGCAAACACTTTAACCACTTGGCTACCCACCGTCCCCGGCTAGTTGTAGACGTGCCTTCCTACTTAGCATCGAACTCAAAACAAAGTAATGAAATGAATAGAATAGAAATATAATTGTCCAGAGAGAACAACACTGACTTAATTTTTACTCGGAGTGGGAAGAACATCCTCAGAAAGTGACACGGAACAATTATTTTAAATATCTTTATTCTCCTAACTTCGAGATCAAGGGCTTCGCGTTTTCAGTGCCAATACATCTGCAAAATAAAATAAATGTCTCGCAGAAAATAGTGTTATGAGTTATGCATACACACAGCTATGCTATCGTAGTATGAGTTTAGAGAACAGTGCTTTAGTAACAAAATCGAGTAGTCTACTCCGTACTTTAACCAGAATGTTACGCCATGCGTTAAATGAATGAGTGTGTGTTATTTTACGCCGTAGTCAATAATATTTCAAAACTGTCACGGCAGCACATAATCCGCTCTTGGTACCAGTTCTAGCAAAGCAAGCAAAAACAGACATAAGTAAGTCTCCCTTAATGTGTAAAGATGTAATGATGATTCTTCCAAATACACCATATATCAGCAAATTATGATGGAAAATACACGATTAGTGAAGCATGAAATATAAAATAGAAATGAAAACATTGTTGTGATAGTGACGGACGTGACTGACGTGACGATGACTACAGGGGATGAACGTGACTGAAATGACATGACTTCTCGGTGAATAAAACTGTGTATTAGTTGCCTGAAAACAAACAAAGCAGGCATGGATAATTATATAACAGTGTTACGTCTACAATATGAGTAAAGTAAGCAATATATGTTATTAGGCGATCAGTATATCTCATGGTTGATAATTGATAATTACACACCCACACAGGTGAAGGTGTTAATCTAATCAAAGTGTTAAAAGAGATATTTTTCAATGACGTAAGACTACACGTTGATCATGATTACAAAATCTGTGATGCTACACACCAGGAACCTTATTCTGGGTCCCGATCCACAAAGCGTTCGTAACGTTACGACCTGTCGTAACTCTATAGTTTATCATAAGCATACGAATGTCGTAGCGCTACGAATGTTTTGTGGAACGGGAACCAGGCTAGCTATTCTTGAAACATTCGTAGCCCTACGAACTTCTTTAAGCCCATTCTTAACACATTGGCTACAATTAAAGTTAAGAATTCTTAGAGCTACGAACATTGCGAGAATAAGGGCCCTGGGAGCCGTTTCACAAAGCGATCGTAGCGCTACGACTGTCGTAAGTCTATGTTAAAAAATGGGAGTTTCGATCATCTTAGCGCTGTGATCGCTTTGTGAAATGGGGCCCTGATTCGTACAATGTACGTTACAATATTAAAGGCAATACCTGCGTGTGTGATGAGGGAGGACATTGCGGATGTCGTTGGATTTGTAGTTGACGTAGTAGTATCAGTGGTAGTCGAAGGTGAAGGTGAAGGTGAAGGAGAAGAAACTGGAGTCGATGCGTTCGTAGAAATCGATGTAGTTGCTTCAGTGTCATTAGAAATCGATGTAGTTGTATCAGTGTCATTAGAAATCGATGTAGTTGTATCAGTAGAAGTAGCAATGGAGGAAGATGGTATAGGTAACGACGTGTTAGCTGCGCTGACGGTCGACCTTGTAGTTGGTGACGTCATTTCTGTAGATGGTGTAGTCAACGTCGTTGTCGCTGATGCTTTACAGCTGGCTACCGCTTTGCCTATGAGGAGAGAATGAACCTTTTTTTAAACACTCTCATAATACTTATGTTTCGGATTACCTGCCCTTGTCGAGACAAGCCTCTGACGGTTGTAAACAGTGTATTTGTAATTGCGAAACGGTATTCAAAGCCAGAAAAGACAGAACACCTGAAAGCACCCGTGCAGATCCGGGTAACAACTGGTCGTCAGCAACCCGTGTTTGTCTTCTGGGACGACTAACAGGATCATGTGGTTAGGCTCGCTGACTTGATTGACACGTGTCATCGTAGACCGATGCTCATGATGTCAGTCACTGGTCTGTCTGGTCCAGACTCGATCATTTAAAGACCGCCGTCATATACTTCAATATCGCTGATTACTGAGGTAAACAACAAACAGACAACACCTGTTTTTTCTGATCTATTTCCGATGACATATTTCAGGTTGTCGTGATATAATAAGGATGTAACCGACCACACCTTTTCACGAATATCACCTCGTCAGATTGAAATATGAAGAATTACACTTCAAACTATACATGACACAGCATCGCAGTCTGACGTACCGTCATCACAACAGCAGTAGAAGTTGTCCAGCTTCCGCCCGTAGCGAATACAGGTCCCCTGCCCACAAGCATCGAACGAGCCTAGGAAAGGAGACAAATTACACTTGGCCAACAATGGTTATATAATGACATAATGCTCCATATAGATAATACATTTTACGTTTAACTCGATAACCAACAGACATAAATGTCACAGTAAACGATAAATTGGTGAATTAAAATGGTTGCCGTGGAGACCTTGTTTAACTTCATCATCGGAAAACCTCTGTACCTTTTACCAAATTGTTCTATGATGGTTCTGTACATAACAACAAAATCATTTTTTAGTGGACTTGTAATGGGCGCGCTGAATAGCTGTAATTATGTTGCTTAAATAGAGAATATCTCCCAAGTGTCTACTGATATCAGTTATATCAACACATGTTGATAAAGTTACACATTTATTTAGTTTTATCAATGAGTGTTGATATATTTGATATCAGAATACAAGAGGATGAGATTCTATTTATCACCAAAAATCACTCTTCATCAGTTTTCAATGAAAAATGTACATCTCTGAACACGGCACTGCTTAAGACTTGCAGTGCAGCTATGTCATAGCATTGTGACGTCGTCAACTGTTTGACGTCATAGCATTGTAATTTACGATGTCAGGGCATTGTACAAAATCTACTGTCAGTCTTCTAGGAGATACCATTTGATCTCACACAAGCACTATATCCAGTGGTACACAGTTTTGGATGATAAATAGAATATAATCATCTTTTGTGAACGTTAAATGATCCTAAATATATTTACCAGTGGACTGGAGAAGTTCCATTTTGCATGTTTCATTCTCTCTGTAAACAGTCCCGGATAGTCTGGTGTCATTTTCCCTCGTGGCAAGAACCTGTATGTCAACATTACTTGTATTGTCTTTGTTGACATTTAGCATGAGTTTCTTTGTGGTGGTGTTGAAACTCCCTCCAATCAGCATTACCTCCCCTTGGGTTTTCAATGACCCTGACACTCCGCCATTGTTGTCCTGACTTGCAATGTTTAAGGTGATGGCTTGTGTGGAGTTGCACATGACATTCCCCGCCCAGGACGTTTTTGCCAGACCTATACAGGAAAGGGAAACTTCGATAACGTATTTTTTGTTTATGTGGTAATGCGTGAGCACGTTAGTGGCTTTTAAAACCTGGGAATGAGTACACCATAATTTTACGTCGTTATATAGCAGTGATATTGCCCAAACAGCTCAGCACGTTGGCCTTTTCCCACCTTTATGTGTATGCATTGTCTTCGTGCGGCAATATCGTGTTAGATACCTGAATACTGTCGTAATTACCCTCATGTTCAAATGTTTCCTGAACTGATGAGAACAAGTGATAAGAATAGACTCTGAAGACTTTGTGTCTTTCTTAAAAATGTGTTTGTACTTCGATCAAAAAAAATAAATTCTATGAGCACATAGTCATACCTATTGAAGTAATAAGATCTATAATCTCAGTGTGGCGCATATGCATGTTTTTGTCTAATTGTTTTCCACATGTTGTACTGTTGGCCTCATGGCCATCTATACGAAATAAATGATGAGTTGCAGCATTGCATTTACACCAATAATGATTGCTATATGGGTTGTGTTTGTGCTCTGTGGTAGTGTTTTTTGCAGATGTAGACGATTCCGGAAGGAGGCGGTGAACTGTTTTCGAAAAATGTATCTTGTTTATTGTTTCACGCCGCACTCAGCAATAAGCCAGCTATATGGCGGCGGCTTGTAAATCATCGAGTATGGACCAGACAATTCAGTGATCAGCAGCATGAGCAGGGTTCACCTGACGCAACCTTCTGTGGACCGAGATGTCCTCAAATTTTGACACTGACATACAGGCATCGTATCGTTTAAAAGAACCGGCCTTCATGAGTTAGCATTATTTCATATATACAAGTTACCAGAACAAAATATGTTATAGTTTCCTTCTTAGGCAGAAGTTTATGCCATACTATTGTCTCAATACCATCATACACATCGCAGTCTGTGATAGACCCAGCTACAGACTGACGACACTGCGCTCCAGTCCATCCCTGTCTGCAGACAATGTTGCCGCTGCTGTCACACCCGTAGTGGCCGTCACAGTTGTCCTGCGGAACACAACGTTTGGAGCAGTCTTCCCTGAAGTAGTATCTGTCACAATAAGCCGTCATTAACACTCGCAGGCTGAAACAAAGACAGCACATACAGGTCCCATATTTTCCATAGCTAAGCGTTTCATTGAGCGCATGTCAGCACTCTGGATGGACAGGTGAAATCGAAAATTGGTTTAGACAATCTTTAGGCCCTTTGACGTGGTGAATTGCCCAAGTATTTCAGGTCTACCCACCTAATACCTACTGTTACATCAACTCCCTCCTCGATTACTCAGGATAATAGAGTGAGTGAGTGACTGAGTTGAGTTTTACGCCGCATTTAGCAATATCACGACACCAGAAATTGGCTTCACACATTGTGCCCATGTGGGGAATCGAGCCCAGGTCTTCAGCGTGACGAGCGAACGCCTTAACCACTGGGCTACCCCACCGCCCCAGGATAATAGAACTTCAGTCTCCTGTGTAAACCAGGATGCATCACAAACGCAGATTAATCAAAATGATGAAAGTGGCTGACTGACTAAGTGTCCTGTCATCCAGTGCTTGTATAATGTAGATGATATAGATTTCTGAAAGCTTGTATCTTGATTACTGGCTCACAGAAATAATATTAAATAATATAAAAATAAAAGTCAATTTCTATAGCGCTATATCTACGTTCACTGTCGTGCTCAAAGCGCTTTAAATGTCTGGAAGTCGAAATCAAATGGCATTGTCAAGGAAAGAAAAGGCCTTTTTGATCAAGATCCACTGCGAATGTCAAATATATTGCACTTAGAAATAGTTTGGTTCAATTTATCCTTTTAAAACGCTCTGACCTGCATTTCTCTGAACGCAGGGTGTTATCAATCAGTGTAGTTGATTGCTAAAGTGCTTTGCATGTCGTGGACGCCTATCTGTCAGTGCTATTCAGTCAGTATAGTGAAGACCCAGCTACCTGGTTGGGTTGATAGGCCTGTCACCCGTTAGGTCCAGGGTTCTGTAGGCGGCGGTGTTGTAGGAAGGGAATACTGTGGATGTGAAGTTGACGGAGAAGTTGTCAATGATCATCACGCCGTCTGTGTCGAGATCGGTGACGTTAATGCCGAGGTTCACGCTGCCCTGAAACAATCATCAGCCATTTCACAATAGCAGGGACTGACTGTAGTACACTATTGATCTATACTGAGACCCTCCCTTCTATAGAACTGTTATCTATTTATTCGTCGATCTGTGATAGTCTGTGCACATATTACATAGCGCTGAATCCAAAAGCGGTTATTTTTAACGGGCACACTCTGTCTTAATGTTAGAGTATTCCAAGCTAACCAGTATATTATTGCTGCACTAATGGTTCATGGTGATTGCCTGCGAGGGTTTATGTGTAACCGATTTATGACTAAATGTTGTGAGTAAATGCCGTTTTTAGCAATATTCCAGCACTATCGCGACAGGGGACAGCAGAAATGGGCTTCACACATTGTACCCCGCTTTAACCACTGGGCTTCCCTACCGCGCCTGATTTATGATGATGTAGCTCAATTTCTTTCTTCAATATTAAGTCATCATCTTGTAAGTACAGATGACCAATAGTTCATCCACTCTCGCCAATATTTCATATTTATATGACGTCGGTCTGTAAGTGATCGAGTCTTGACCAGAGAGTCCAGTGATTCACATAACGAGTATTGACCTACGCAATATGATGACCTGCATCCACCAAGTCAGCGAGAATGACCAAAGGATCCCGCTTGTCACCTGGAACTCTACTTATTGTATTGTATCTGTACCTTGGTAGCAGTGGGGTAGCCTAGTGGTTTAAGCGTTCGCTTGTCACGCCGAAGACCCTGGTTCGATTCCCCAAATAGGTACAATGTGTGAAGCCCATTTCTGTTGTCCCCTGTCGTGATATTGTGGGAATATTGCTAAAAGCGGCGGAAAACCATATTCACTCACTGCACTGGGGCAATATAGCCTATATACTGTCTTTATTAGTATGAGTTGCTGATAAATAATGGTCATCCGGATTTTCATGGGGTTGGTACACACATGAACAGCCCGATCCCCGTGAATCCGGAACTCGTTTCGGGTGAATACCATGAACTGTCGTTAAGCCCTTTCGCAGTCTATTTATCCGTACATAAATTACTCCGGGCAAATTCAATGGGAACGCTGTCGTCTGGATTAACGGTGTTTCACGGTGTATAGTAACTGGTTCTTGGGCACCACCAATAAAAGGCAAGGTTGTGCCGTGTTAATTCTTAGAGACAGGTTTCAGTGAAATAATTATTGATCCTTGTTCCCCTAGAAGGAGATGCTCTTCTGGATTCGACCCACATTAAGCATACATGCCGTAACGTCACTGGAATACGATTGAAACGGTGTTAAACCCAACAAACTCACTCCCCCGTGGATACGCGGGAGAGTATTGTCTGACAACATATATCCAGTCTTGCCCAGGAATACGTCTCGAATCACTTGGTTGGTTGTTATTTACACCATATGTATTTGTATGACAGCTGTCTGGACCAGACAAACCAGTGATTGGTAGCATAAGAATCAATCAACGCCACCGACTAGCTATCAGCAACTTCGCACAGCAGGACTGCCCGATCTATAGTAGATCGCCTCTTAGGGCCAGGCAAACCGAAACATGAGTCTCATTAACCAATTCAGACAATGACCTACTTTTCAGCCGTTCCGAATTTTCTCGTGTGGAAGTGAAAAGAGACACTACAAACAACTATGGTTACACTAAATTCCAATTCCTTGTTTCATAAGAAAATAGTATATATAAATTAATATTAATTTTCAAGTATATCGAATTTCTATGTTTTATGTCGAGGTTTAGGCAGCATGTCGTTAACCAAGACGTTACAGACTGCCCCTGTTTGAAGAGGTCGTACAATGATCCACAATTCATCTGGCTCACTGGTTACACCTTTTATGTGTTCTTTGCGCTTATTTGGTGTATCACTGGTGTGTAATAAATTTTTTTACTTGCCCATTCCTCGGGTTTTGTCATAATTGTAATAATGTAATCGTGCCTACCTGAAACCATTCACCTACCTTCCAGGTGTCGAAGGGGAACAATGATTCATCGTCGGAGAAGTTGTTGCTATTCTGGTCCTTCTGACCGTCAAACTGGTGGATCCCGTAGTCGCAGTCTGTGATGCTGGCAATACTGGAATAGTCTCATGTTGTCATTTCTATCACTCATATACCCGTGAAGGTCCGGGTTAGAATTTTGATCTTCAGTAACCCATGCTTGTCGTAAGAGGCGACTAACGGGATCGTAGGTCAGGCTCGATGACCTGGTTGACACATGTCATCGGTTCCCATTTGCGCAGATCGATGCTCATGCTGTTGATCACTGGATTGTCTGGTCCAGACTCGATTATTTACAGACCACCGCCATATAGCTGGGATAGAATGCGGCGTAAAACTAAACTCACTCACTCACTCTATCACTCATACACACGTCTAGTAATTTTTAAATTATAATATTATACGATGATTGTGATATATAGGCTTTATAGCCATTCGGGGCGGTGGGGTAGCCTAGTGGTTAAAGCGTTCGCTCGTCAGGTTCGATTGTCCACAGGGGTGTACAATGTGTGAAGCCTATATTTGGTGTCCCCCGTCGTGATATTGCTGGAATATTACCAAAAGCGGCGCAAAGCTTACTCACTCACTCACTCACTCACTTTATAACAATTCACTTGGATATCGATTGGTCTTCAATCCAAGGCGAATCATTGTAATTTACAGGTGGACAAATGTATTGACATATCCTTAAATGACTTTTAGAAGATGTGATGCCAACGATACCACTTTTGCATTTTAATTCCTTTTCTTTTTCAATACGACCTTTGGGTACACATGTTTTCATTCTGTTTTCATTAATGGATTCATTATTCATCAAGAGGCGGTGGGTTAGGCCAGTGGTACAGCGTTTGCTCCAAGACCAAAGGCCTGGGTTCTATGCCCAACATGTATAAACTTGGGCAAGCTCTTTTCTGGTGCGCCCTACCGCGATGTAAAGTGATACCCGGAAGTGATATTTTTCGAAGTAGCATCAACTCTTGTGTCTATAGTACCAGCATATCTGGTTTACTTACCTGGCAGCACTGGAACCACACAGCAGGAAACTGTTGTCACAGTTACCAGTTGGACACCCGGTGGGCAGATTCAAACCATCACAGCAGACGTTGTTCTTGTCTCGCCCACTTGGGTTAAGGAACCTGGTGACCTTGACAGCGATCTTGCCGGTGCCCAGTACAGTATCAATCTTGTATCAGTAGAAAATAACCCACGTGAGGCAAGTTCCTTACATATGATATTAATATATAAATACTAGTCCTACGGAATTCATTTTATAAGGCTACGTTTCACAATGGAAATCAGTTAAATACATATGATTGCAACTGGGAGACATTGTGAAATATTGTCTTTTCCACTCAATTCGTTAGCGGTGGAATAGCCTTATTTTTAAAGTGGACGTTCACATAGTCAGTTGGTTTAAATTGATCTGCGTCTGGCATTATTTCCAAATAATTTGTAAACAAAGCAAGAACGGTAGAAGTAGGTGCTCCAAATCTTATTTTTACCGTATCTTAAATACCAATATAGAATTTGAGAGATATCTCTTTCTGCCAAAACATATCTGTTCCTCTATTTTAAAATTCGGAACAGGTAATCACCACCTACCTGTAGAAGTTGGTCGTTGGGCAAATGTTCCTAGAGAATATCGTCTATGTAAGTCATGTAAATCCCATACAGTGGGAGATTAACTCCATTATCTGTTCAAATACGAAACTTTACTACTGTATAGACAAACATATTTACCTTCTTACATGAATTCAATTACCTTATGGAAAGTTGTCAAACTGTTCTCGTCTAAACAAACGCGTAATCTAAAAAAATCTTGCTAAATATAAACTCTGTCAAAAAAGAAACGCAACCCCTGTCCTCAGATATGAAAAATTCGTTTGAATGAAGTTATTGCTTCCAAACTAAATGTTATTCGAATGTATTGAAATTATACACGTAATTAATGAAGATTACCATCCAAACAACTGCATTTGTACGCATAAGTGTATTTTATTGCTTATTCCGTCACAACGCATGAAATGACCCTCATGGTGACTTCGCACAAAAAAAACACATGCAAATCATGAAAATGGCAGTTAATGTAGGGGTGTATAAAAAGCCCATGTGCTTTCGTATTATATTCATTCATTTGTCGCATGAAAAGCTGTGTGAAAAATGCCACGATTGAGTGCTGCCGACCGAAATATCGCCATTGGTCGTGTTCAAGCCGGAGAAAGTTTTGGAACTGTTGCACGGCACCTAAATGTTCACAAAACAACGATATCCCGACTTTGGAGCCGCTACAACAACTTCAATTTGACCAACGATCGCCCGAGAAGTGGAAGGCCAAGAATCACGACCCCCCTTCAAGATCGGTACATCCGGGTCCATCACCTGCGTAATCGGCATGCCCTACCAACCGTGACTGCCACACAAATACCAGGTTTGAGGAGAGTGTCAGCTCAAACGATTAGGAACCGTCTGAAAGAAGCGGGTTTACGTGCCTGTAGACCAGTTGTTGGACCTGTACTACGCCCCTACATCTCCGCCGACGACTCAGGTGGTGCAACAACGTAAGGATATGGACTTTACAAAACTGGAGGCGCATCTGGTTTTCTGATGAATCCTGTTTTCTTTGCAACATCACGACGGAAGAAAACGTGTGTATAGGAGACGTCATGAACGTTTTGCGCCCATCTGCGTCCGACAGGGGACAGATTTGGCGGAGAAAGCGTTATGGTTTGGGGATCCATCTCATACAACCAGAAATCAGACTTGGTGATCGTTGAAGGGAACCTGACAGCCCAACGTTACATCAACCACGTATTACAGCCTCACCTTCTCCCGATTATTGACCAACAGACACAGATTTTTCAACCAGACAACGCCCGGCCTCATACTGCACGTGCAACAATGAACTTTCTGCAGAATTCCAACGTCAATGTCTTGCCATAGCCCTCTAAATCACCAGACCTCAACCCTATTGAACACCTGTGGGATACTCTGGGTCGACGCGTACGTCAACGTCAGCCGCCGCCACAGACGCTGCAACAGCTCGGCGTTGCACTGCAGGAGGAGTGGAGAGCCATTCCCCAGGAAAGAATCCGGCGTCTTATCCGTTCTTGTCCAAGGAGATGCCGTGCAGTGATTGCAGCTCGTGGTGCTCATACGAGATACTGAGAAAGACGCCCCCCTGGTGACAAACTGGTGTCTGTGAGATGACTTTTGAAATGACAATTTTAAACATGCCCATCTTGGTTATTATTCTGCCAAATTTCAGACTTCTGTCTTAAATAATAAAAATGCTGTGTCGTCTTAAAACTTCAGATCAAAATCTCTAAAATACAGGGGTTGCGTTTCTTTTTTGACAGAGTTTATTAATGCATTATTAAAGTCCACAAAGATACATTAACTTCTTTGTTGTTTGCCATCTTGACAAAAGTCATGTTAATTTATATGAATATTCTAATTTTGTATTCTCATGTAACACCTTTGGTGGTGTTTCAAGAAAAAAAATTAATTGTGAATTAAATTGGAAGTAAACAGAATATCATATATTGTTTAACCGTTCAACATTCAGCCGGCGATGTCCGACGCCTACCGCCAATATCGTTCTTAGGGACTAAAGCTCGTGTCTAGTAAAAACTCACCGTCACATTGTCCCCGTTGCCAACTAGCGAAAATGTAAATACATTAAAATTATAATGTGGTTTTTCAGAAAAAATCACTTCTGCATAATATAACATATGTATTTGGGAAATACACGTAGTTATATCAGATATGCTACATTTGACCACTGTCTAAATGGCTTTGTGTATTCACACTTCTGCATAAGTTTAAACGGCGGATATGTCAAATGGAAATGTTGTGGATTTTTAAAGGTCTTTTCGACTTTTAGGCACTAAACACGTATACCTGTTAACACAGAAGGAAATGTACACATACTGAACTGTTTTGTATATTTTCAAACGTGTCCACCTAAACCTCTGAGGACTAGAGAAATGGGGTTAACACGTGTCCTCAGGTCAAGTATTTCAATACACAAACCGAATCTTTAAGAATGAAAAGGTGAATGAAGTGATACATCAGCCATATGTATTGAAATGTGTCATGAGGTGAAAATACACGTCGTATACGCACGCCGGGCAATGTACGTCGCCAGATCCGCTCTCTTCTGCAACACACGGAATCGACCCGTTTGTCCACATGCGACACGAACTTACCTTGCGCATTTTGGAAAGCTCGCGTACTCTTGTGTATTTTGGTGTATAGTTATACTATATAGTTCTGTATACAGAAATGTACCACGGAATAGGTCTGTACTGCCTTATACGAAAACGACCCCTCTACTGTTATTGAAGGCAACACTGCATCTACTCACCATCACAGGCACCATCAGTCCCAGGAGACACGTCAGTTTAGCCATGTTCAAACAAGGCGGACTTAATGTCACAGGTCTGACCACGAAAAGCCTTTCCTACCTGGAAGGTTCTCCCAGCGCATGAACAATTTACCGTAAATACCTTATAGAACATCTGATAGAAAACATTGTCTTAGAAACATTGTGTCAGATTTTATAAACAACGCGCTTTCACGCCTTTAGGTATGTCCTGATTACAACTAATGCCATAGTAATATTAAATATATACATTGCAACTGAGTCTATGACATTTGACTGGTTAAGGACGCTAAATATTTTGCTTAAACCAAATCCAAGTTAGGCAGCGTGCACTGGCTAGGCGACTGGTAATAGAATGGACGGAGCTTGTGTTGCATCTTTGCGTTGAAAGATGTCGCTAATTTCATATTGGTATCTATAGCATTGTGTGTCAATAAGCAACTGGTGATAACATGATTTCCTAAATTTATTTATTTATTAGAACATATTTCTAAAGGTTTTGCAAACTTTGCGTAAATTCGACTTCATAAATGCCAACAAAGCTCTCAACAAAAATATCACCAAACACAACAAAACCGATACACACGAGTCGTTTTCCCTGACCGATCAAAAGTCATTTTACCTGATAACTACGGTATTGCCTAAACATGTACCTTCTACAGTCCAGATAAGCATTTTAAAAGAAAGTTGGGAGAGTAAATTCAGTTATCAAGAGCACATGTTGACTTTCTTGTTCTGCAGACCGACCAAACTGATTCATTGATATGCTCGTCAACGCGTAGTATAGTTTCGATAGTGTCGCCATTCTGTTGAGGGCTACACCCAGAACAGGCTTTCACAGGATATATCGTTCGGGTGATATCAATAAATATACACCATAATGCCTTGCAGGGTAGTGTGACATCATCGTGTTGGGTTGCTGAAGACCAATTCTAACCCGGATCTACATTTCACAGTTGCATCTTAGTAATTCCCAATTCTGATTGGTCAGTTGGAATTATAAGGTCTTGTGTTCCTGGTCTTGTTTGTTTGGAATGTTGTAAATCCCTCGAATATCCCCTGGCCCCTAAGTCTTTGACTCGGGGCTGACAAACCCCCATTCCTCTTAGATCGTTAACTAATTTCTAATGTAATTTTTCGATACTATCTTTCTTTAAACAAATGCGAGATGACGTTTTGGAATACAAATCATAAAAATGAGAATAAAAGTAACGAGGGAGGTCACTATTTTTTGTTGTTCAACGGGAATAGAATACATTTTTTAAAACTTTGGTATTGATTAAAATACTGCTTATCGCCTACATGTCATCAATATTCAATGTTCGATACTCAATGCTCACTGTTTAAGCCTCAACATTCAGTTTTACAAAATGGATTAAAGAAGTCTATACATTAGGGAAATGAATACTATTATACTTGACTCGGGAATATTTCCAAAATTTAGGTGCTAAATGTTTGTAGGCTCATAAAACCTGTCCCACAGTGATAACGATAAATGAAGCGCTGATAAAATGTCTCAAAGCGACCCAGCTGAACGATCAATTGGGTCAAAGTAAACGTGAAAATATAGTTTCATACCATGTTATTTGTAGCAGGTCTATAAATATATGCTATCTTCCATTAATCAAGGCATATTTAGAGAATATCAAGAGTCTGAAGAACACTTAATTTGTCTACAATATATTTTAGAAGGACAAAACTCCTCTCGGTTAAAGTTAGTTAAAACAGTTAAACAACTATTAGTTAGGCAGAGCAGCGTCGAGACAACATTGCTTATAACTGCATTTGTTATCGGCGATCAATATTCATTGTAGCCGCTGGAAACACTGTTTCGTGTAATATCAAAATAATTCATAATCAATAAAAGTGCCGTTATGCGCTAATTTATCCACAATCGCCGTATTTCCTGCAGCATCTTCCATGTATAACTGGCATTTGCAAAAGGCCATGATTGTATGAATGCTTTCAACCCCAGGGGCGTAGCTACTATTATAAAACAGTCAGGGCTTACACATGATTGTTGCTAAAAGGGTTGGGCAAGCCCTCAATCCTATCTAAATATAAAGCTTTGCAATTTATCGGGCTTACACGAAAAAACTGGCATACGAAGCATACGAAATAATTTACTCTCCGAAAAATAATACTGTAAGGATGTTGGTATCTCTATAAGTAGTAACATATTACAATGCAGGTGCTCAGGAAAATTAAAATATGTTCTTATATTGTAAATACGTTCTTTTGCTGCACCATTAAGGCTGGGAAAATTGTCTAATTTACTCTACTCAGGCTTTATTGGTAAATAATACCAAGATATGTGTACTCAACATGACCATCATATTCGATGCCAAGCCGAGCATTTGTTGCTTGTGCTGTTGGGTTTATTAAAATAACCAAAGTTCAGTCCCAACGACATCCAATTCAAACTAGGGTTTGGCATCGTATTTCAGATTATGAATTTTGTACAAGCCATCATGATGCAATTTATAATGTGGTACATTCGCAAGACGATCCAGCAGCGGTCATCCTGAACTGAAACCTGCCTCTTCTAACATTGAGTTGCAGTTCCCATATAATCATTTTTGTAACATAACATTGAAACAAAACAATCGTTTTGTTTGCGAAAAAGAAAATAACCGCTCCCCCTCCTTAGGTGTTTGAATAAAGTCACCAAGATCACAAATTGATCCTTGGTGTCATGGTGACAGTATGTTTGGTTTAGTATTTGGACAGTATTCACGTTATATCACCGCGTTTCAGCTTGATCTGGCAGGAAGACCGAAGTGATGATGATATCAGACGTTTATTAGTGTGTTGAAATCCACGAGCAAGGGCGGGGTGCAGACCTACCTAGAAAACCAATATGAGCAAATCCCATAAGTTCCTGGCGTCTTCCGACCTCGTGGTGTCATAAATCACAGGTGCAATCAAACTCACTCTTTATTCCGTGTTAGAGGTGAATGCAAACATATGTCTCAGATGTTCTGTTATTGGCCAATTCTTCTCATGTCACACGTTTTTGAATGGGTTAAACCTAATCTACGTCTTCAGAGTCAATAAACAATGTCCTCTCTATGTAAAGAATTCTTTAAAGACCAAATGTGCCTTCACAAGGTGTGTCTATATCATGAACAACAATTTCTCTGCACGCTAAAACTACCTTCCACATATTCAACTGTTAAACAATAAACAAACATGTATCGTTTGACCCTCTGACCCGTGAAGATCCGATTTAGCAATGATCTTCAGTGAGGTGAGGTGAGGTGAAATTGGGTTTAAGGTCGTGCTTGAGAATATTTCACTCATATGACGACGTGATGTGCGGCTGCTTGTACTAGCCCAGACTGAAGCTGGTTTTATAGTGCTAGCTCACTGAGATACCATGCCGCAGTGAAGCATGAATACCCCACTCAGACATATTATACTGACTCCGAGCCGACCAGTCCTTATTGAACCCATTATTGTGGAGCGCCAGACAGGGACGAACAAGTAACATATTTTAACGTCTTTTGGTATGACGCGGTCGGGGATCGAACCCGCGACCTTCCGCTCTCCGGGCGGACGCTCTAACCACTACACCACGGAGGCGGTACTGGTCTTCAGTAGCCCATGCTTCTCGTAAGAGGCGACTAACAGGATCGGATGATCAGGCTCGCTGGCTTGGTTGACACATGTCATCATATCCCAGTTGCGTAGATCTCATGCTGATAATCACTGGATTGTCTGATCCTGACTCGATTATTTACAGACTGCCACCATCTATCTGGAATACTGCTGAGTGCGGCGTTAAACAACAAATCATACAACCATCTTACGACATTGCATCTGAAATTACTTTCTTGGTGCCTTGGGCGTCGGTATCATGTGATGCATGTGGGCGTATAGTGTCACAAGTTAGTAGAGGCTCTGAACTCCAGTGCGGTCTTAGTCGCCCATAAACAGCACCATGTAAACATCGCAACCATTTCTGTTAACTGTTCAATTTGTCATTGTATAGTGTAAACATATTGCCAAAACAACACCCGGTAAGACTAGAGGGTAGGGTCCTGTGTCAGCAGGTCTACGGCATACGCCACTGCATGGGGATTCCGGTTAGACTGGGTCACATGTAGCCCTGTCTGCCATTTGAGCTGATTAACGTTGGGTTAGGAAAACGTAAGTGTTCATGCTGTCAACCACTGGAATGTCTTTCCCATACTGGATTATATCGGCTATATCGAACCAGTTAGTAATCCAAAGGGCCATAACATGTTGTTGTTGTTGCTGAAGTTCATCTGAATTACGAACTTGGTCCATAACAGTTACGTTGATTTTGAGGTACCGTTAGAGTTGGTTATGTCTTGAGCTGACTTGAAATATCAACCACTGGAAATTCTTTTCCATACTCGATTATTTCGGATATATCGAAACAGTTAGTAATCCATAATTAATGGGCGTAGCATATGTAGTTGTTCATCTGAATAACGAACTTCGTCTATAACGGTAACGTTGATTTTGAGGAACTATTACTGTTCGATATGTCTTGCGGTGTTTATATAATATAAGATTGCGTTTTGTCTGCAGTAACTCAGTATTGTTTCACCTCAACTAACAAATGATTCTGAAATATTGATAAGATTGACTTATCAAAACATGTAGAACACGTCATTATTAATTTCCCTTTAACGTGATCGAAAAAGAAGAGCCCCAGGATAGTGCGAGTGAATTGAAATTTCAAGTAATGGTTTTATCATTTGTATCGCCCAACTGTCTGTTTTAAAAACCATATCCGTTGGTATTTACCCCCGATAACAGAGTAACACCACCTAGCGGAAGAAGATGTTTACTGTCCACATTCCATGACCTCCGTATGTTGTCTGGGATTGATATATTTCGGACATATTGACACTACCCCATTACCAAGCTAATACCCCACCCTCTACATGCCGGCAGCTATTGGCGGCGGTACACAACCTGACAGCTGTCACTAGGTCATTATCAAATGGGTTGTCTTAGGGGAACATTTGGCTGTCTACAGTCTGATCTCGGCC